ACCATATACCACATATATGTATATATGTATTATTGTAGTATATATAATATATTATGTGTATAATATATGTGTGTATATATACATTATAGTGAACTACTTAACGCGATACTGTAACGACATCTCCGGGGAGAGATGTTACTTTGAACTTTAGTTCAACAATTTCACTTTACCATAAGATTATTATTACTCGATTGATTTTGTTCTAGAACTTTTGTTTCACAAATTTGTTGAAACGAAAAGTATGAATGACAGTAAGCGTGACTTCCCGCGGAAACCTATTGTCGTACGGTGCAATCATTTTGGAAACATGTATTGCCGTTGTAGTCGTTCGGTAGGGGTAAGTAATAGGTTTCCCTTGTTATTTTTGTACCGTTAACGGAACAAATCACTACAATCCTAGTTTTTAGCAAGGAGCACCGCCACTGAGGTGAAATACGACTACCCTTTCCCCCGAGAGGTATCCTCTTTAGGCTAACGTAGAACACCAGCTCGTCTTGTCTTCCCGAACTAATAGTAGAGTCACCCTTTTATTTCACCTGTAGTGCGTTTGAAGATGTGCTTCCAAAGTACTGTTCTTGTTCTCTCCTATGGTCCTTCTTCCAACGGTGCCGACGAGCAACTCCGACTACACTAGTGACAAATCGTCGTCCTTGTGGCACCGTTGCGTCCCAAAGAAACGAACTCCCTCACGTCAGTTGTGAAACGTCAGTAGGTTGGTAGTAAGCGTAAGTATGACATGTTATCGTTCTTTGTTTATATGTGAACATTCAATTAATTTCCACCCATCCTTCAACTCTTTGGGCCAGAGCTCTATGTGAAACAATATAGGTACCTTACGAGATTGTAAGGCGCTATCGTACTTTCCAGATTCACGAAAACTGTTTTTTATGTATTTTTTTACAGTGATACCTTCGACATCGTGACATTTTTCCGTGCTCGGTTTAGTAGACTCCACACCTGGCGATTTATTGACCTACGTAGATGACGGACAGTCTGGAAGATAGCACGTGTTTGAATAGAAGCACCGGGAGTAACCAGTACACGCGCAAGCCACACAACCTCCTCCCCGAGACATTGCTTCACTTCCGGTCTAAAGGAAGCGTCCGACACATAAAAGTCCAAGATCCGTCGTGAGCTCCGACCAAGAGGTTTTAGTCGATGGCGTGGAAATTACATAGTATAGTAAACATTTGAGGGACACTACATATACCACGTCTCGTGTTTAATTGACGCGATTTATATAATTTATTGGTAGTTAGGTCGCCTAGGAGTCCTTTCTCAATCACTTTGTTATAATTATACTCTTGCAGTGACAATTGCTCTATGTAGTAAGTACTCAAGGGTAGCATTTAAATACATCTATAAACTGGTACCCGGTAATCGTATTATAAAGTGTTGGTACTTGACTTAAAAAACGCGACTGTACCAACACAAAAACACATGGAAATGAGAACCTAATATGACTTACGTTGAGAAGCGCTTTATGTCGTCACATAGACGTACTATTGAGCATTGCTGAGATGCAGTCTATACACGTATTCGCTCAGGAACTAAGTACCATGGGTCTTACCTCCTTAGACTGCAATGACAAAAAACGCGAGAGCGGGATATTACCCTCGACACACTGTGGGCTAAGAGAGCATGTAATAAGCTAAGTCGAGATAACTCTACGGTCTTTTCCAAATACTGTTCGACGGGCAAAATCTCCTACCTCGTTAGACTTTGATTTGTATACTTATGGATCGAAATGAAGAGATAATTTTTGATCACTGCACATGTAACGAGTGAGAGACCGACAGTCAGTTACACTGCTGTGATTCTAGGAAGTGTGGTCACCGAGTATAATAGTCACTACTTGAGGTCAGAACCCATTTCACAAAGGCTATGAGGTACTAGGGTTAGTGGGCGCAGCGAATCACTGTAGTGTCGCTGATTGAGAGACGAGGTATCGAACAGAGAACGTTCTGTTTTTCTGTTCGTGTAGCATTGTATCGAAAGGATGGTAACTTAAAAAGAATTAGTGTAATTTATGTGAACCGCATGCACTGAGTCGAGTAATAAAGTAACAATTATTTTACTATAAGTCGTTACACTGAAAAAACATTATTAATAAGATTTTTTTACTACGTAACGACCTAATTTACACATTAATTCTTGGTCTAAATTCAATCCCACCGTTTTTCTCAAAGTGACGACGTTCATTTACTTTTCTCTTTAACGTGATGTATGAACTAGTTATTATCATTATTGTTGTATTTTAATACTTACAGTTGCTAATTTATGAGTGTCACCTTACTTTTTGTGACATAAGTGCGTTGTCACATATTGATTTATATACGTCACTGACACGTTTCACTGGACCATAGAGTCCTAGTTCCATAGTAAAACAGTCGGTCATTTCTTCGTCAGTAACTCTTTCTATAGAGTTTGTTAGCCCCAAACAAAATTTTGTGGCTATACTAACTAATAGAGATAAAATACTCTGACACGGTGTCTGACTACTCTGCCATAGGTTCTATTTAGTACAACTCGTACCATCACCGAAAGAATAAATGGTTACGACTGTCCGATCGCTCATCTACGGAGTCCTTAAGGCCAGTTTCAATCATTTGACCGGTCTGTAGCATGTCCAGATTTATAGTCTAATGTACATCGCCCGGTAGTTCCAACTCATCTCACTCACACACTACGGTCTGTTATACGACCTGACAACGTCTTGCGATAAACGACTTTTGTTCGTATGTGTGTGTTATTAGCGTCCACGTGGTATTACCGCCTGACGTCATACCACGCACATTTAGACACACAAACTCGAGTGACTTGAGAGATTGGGTGTTTGTACGCAAGGAGGCTGCCCAGGTCGACAGGAGAGAGACGACCGACTGACCTAAAGTGGGAGGACGACGGGTAGACCGAGACCATATAGAGAGACGGAGAGTAAGTGAAAAAGAGTTACTGCAGAGAATTAGAGACAAGTAGGTCGGCAAGGACAAAAGATGTAAGGGAGGAAGGAAATTAGGCACTCATACAAAGGGTGGGAAAAAAGCCAGAAGAAATTGCTGGAGAAATATTAAATTATCACAATAGACGGGGAGAGAGTATGACTTATTGTCACCACAAGAAGAATTGGACGACCCGAATTTCAGACATCCCATGTACTGACACTCTATGGTCTCCAGCGGCCAAGTCAGGGAATTGACTTGTTTCACTCCTTGTACCTGTCCGTTAACCTCTCCAGCGGTCAGTGGATACCAGATGATATAAGCGGAAACTCGTTTTGGTCGCGTTTCTGAGGGTTGACGAGTAGTCAGTACTTATTATCCGACGGAAAAACGTTTTCCCAGTGTAAGTGACACACGAACACGACACATCTACACTCGTTTATAGTCCTATAGAGACAACATACCCGGATTAATGCGATGAATGGACATTCGTGTATGGTATGTTTCTTTTATTATTGTTAAAGTTTCGTAAAGCAGCTGATGCCCAAACAGTCCTAACTTGGGGACAAAACGGATTGGCGCTATAGGATTGTAGGCATTAAATCATTGGGTTTCTTCACTGCCTCCGAAATTACAGATACCACAGTACTCAGGACAAAACAACGGGACATTTGTAAAACGTTCTGTGTTCTAAGAAGCCCTCTGTACATTGCAACATATGGAGGTAAAACAAAACAAACTACACTATCAGCATAGTGAGTGGCCTTCTTGACTTGTCGTTCTAGAAGCATTTGTAAGGTTCGGATCATTTGGTCGGTTTTCGTGGAATTAGACGCGTACCTTGTAAACCTATTCCATCGTCTTTATTTTCCTATATAGTCCTTCTTATAACTATACGATTCGTCGTTTGGAAACTTATAACTTGAGTCGCCAATATTTGACTACAACCATAACTAATGAATCGTTGTTTTATGAGAGATTAAAATCCGTATTTTTTTGCCTTTGATTGGCTGTTAGCATCCGTGTTTTTGCCATTATTTATTTCGTTATTGATGATTTGTTATACTGTGTAACCAACGTTAAACAATTTGTAGACTGACAGGTTTTAGCCTTTATTACAATGGTGTTCACCATATGTTGACACCGAACACCGTCGCACCTGTGCACGCACCACAAGCCTAGTCCCCTCCGTGTCAAGTTTGGGGTGACGTCAGTCGGTACAGCACTTGGGACCGTCTGTGAAGGCGGGGGTTGAACGAGGACACCCCTAACGGGTGTCATAACTCACATCATTCAGTGAAACCTATTTTCCAGATTGTCATTATGTTGATTTGCGTTAATATGTAGACAAATCCACCCACTTTTCACCAGGATTAGTTAGATTACGTTTAATGCTATTTCAATTTTGCACCAGGGTCACTAACACGAATTATTAACTTTCTTATAAACTGATTTGGTCCTTTTCAAAGACTAGAATCGAATTGTAATTGTAGTTTATATTATTATGTTACTACTCATGTTTGCATAGTTTTTTGTTGTGTATAATAATTCGACAAAGTACAAGCTTTAAGAAATAAAATCTTAAGTTCGTCGAATTTTTCCTCTGTGTGATCGTTGTATATTGGAATGAGTGGTACTCGTTTCTCAATTTTGCTCGAAGGGTTATTTCCGTCCCGCGTTTAAGTGGGTCCTCGTCGCTAGTCTTGTCCTCTGTCGACGTATTTTGATGACCTTGGTGTGTGTGGTGTTGTGTGTGTGTGTCGTGTGTGTGTCGGGTGTGGCTTGTGTGGTGTGTGTGTGTGTCGTGTGTCCGTGTCGTGTCGTGCTGTGTGGTGTGTGTGGTTCACCAGAATGCGTGACTCCACCACGACTCCTTAACACTGCATTGCGTGGTGGAGTCACGGAATCTTTAATATTTGCGTGTCGGCACCACGCAAACAACCCCAATGTAAAGTGAATGAGGCTCCTTTGTCGTGGTGCACACACGCATTTCTACAACGTCCTGCAGTGAACAATTTATTCTATAAAACGTTTTAAAAATCTACTTTATACCTTGTAGTAACTCACGGGAGGCTTCTTTTATTTTATTTGTATTCATAATCATTTTTATTTTTCGTCAGAATGTATTATGGTGCATTATTTACCAATGTTTGTTCTCAAAAAACGGTGCATTTTTATTAGATTAGTTATTTTTTAAGGAAGGCCAGAGCTTCAGCTGTGTCAAATAGATTGTTCCCTTTAGTTTACGTTATTTAAAAGACAATTAAATTCATATTTGATCATTAATAGTAATAATAATCATTTGTTTTATAACAACGATAAACCAGAAGAAGATGCCGTCGTTACCACGGCAACGTTATGTCGCGCTTGACGGCAGTGACGTAGCCACGTGACCTTGCCCACGATCACGTCACTTTCATTCATTTCATCTCACAACGGACTACAGTAAGTATCTAAAATCAAGGGGAGTTTATTTCTTTAAAACACGAAATGATATTGCTTTTATTTATTCCACTGTAGCACAGTCTCTATAGCGTTTCATTCCTGGATATTATGTTAAGTTTTGTAGTGTGTTTAGCTTTTACAATAGGCTACGCGCAAACTAGCGGCCACGTTCAGCTAGCCTCCGGCTTTCCGGTCAAAGTTTGTAGCTGGATAGCATTTATAGTTTATACAGCTAAATGACATTAGCTGTCCCCGGCACAGTTGGATAGTGGAGGTGCCTGCTAGAAAAATATGTTTAAATGCTTGTATTTGCCCATGTGTTGTAAAGACAGCTTTCAACACAGAGTTGTAATAGTGGAATCGGCGATGATTTTTTGTAGTGTGTTTAGCTTTTACAATAGGCTACGCGCAAGCTAGCGGCCACGTTCAGCTAGCCTCCGGCTTTCCGGTCAAAAGTTTGTAGCTGGATAGCATTTATATAGTTATACAGCTTAATAACATTAGCTGTCGCCCCCAGTTGGATAGTGGAGGTGCCTGCTAGAAAAATATGTTTAAATGCTTGTATTTGCCCATGTGTTGTAAAGACAGCTTTCAACACAGAGTGTAATAGTGGAATCGGTGATGGAGTGGAACAAAAAATGTGGACCTGGAGTTTTTCCAGAGGATTTGACTGGCCAGTGGGGACATTGGGATTGTTACATTGTAGAATTAAAATATATAGTAGAGGATATAAGATATATAAATTATACTAAATATTATTGCATAATAGAGTAATGCACAGATTTAATTATTATTGCACTCTCTTCATTTTGTGTATTGTTTGTAATATTGTGTCTGTATTTTTTGTATGCCATGTCCCTCATAATATAACAATATGCACAGTATAAAATTATACTAAATTATTATTGCATAATAGAGTGCACAGATGTTACTGTTATTCTAAATAATCCTAATCATGTTTTATTTTTCCTGTTTTACAGCTTCTTAACAACTCTATATCACTAACACACACATATCCACACACACACACACATATAAAACCAACGGCACTTTTAAGAGCCATTCTCTCTCTCTCACTGTCTCTCTTTCTATCACTCTCTCACTTTCTCTTTCAATCACTCCTCTCACGCTTCTCTTTTTCAATACCTCTCTCTCACTTTCTCTTTTAATCACTCACTCTCTCTTTGTATGCCATGGTCCCTCAACCGTGTGAGGGTCTTTGAGGATCCCAATGAGGCCAGGATGCACATGGCAGCATTGATTAGCGAGGCTCTGTGTCCATGAGGCCAGGGTGAGGCTTTTCATGATAAGCAAATACCCAAGTCTGTAAATATTGCTTTTTATTGATGTAATGTAAAGGGTCCGTTAGACCTTTTTATGCAACCGTTAAATAAATTGCTCAAATATAAGAGCACTGCTGTCTTATGTTGTATTACAACTTTGTTGTTGATCTCAACCTCTGAAAAAATATAGGCTACTGAAACCCTTCCATTCCCTCCGAAAAAGAAAAAGAAAAAGGCAGGAAGAGAACCCCTTTCTAATCCAGTGGTCACACGCAGTACGTGAGAGACAAACGGGAACTCAACGCTCCGCATCAGGTTTGTTCTTTACTAATATCATTGATTCTAAATCTAAGAATAAAGATAATATCATAACAAAGTTATTTTGGGTGTACACAGTCAAGAAATTTATGTAATGTAAAGATACCTCATTGACAAAGTCTGTGCATGTTTAAAACATTTTCAAATAAATCAAGATAATTGTACAGAGCCTGTGACTGGATAATCCTTCTGCCTTGTGTTGATTTTTTTTAAATGTGTATCCTCAATTGGATAAAAAGTAATGCCAAATGTAAATTGTCATTGTGATGCTGTGGTATAATATGTTCTTAGTTTCAATTAGCTGCAAGTCCTTACAGAGGCATTTCACATTACAATGATTGGTGTAATTTAGATGATTGAAGGGTTAAGCAAAAATGTTTGTCTCTTGCAGGCTTCACAAGCCAGAAGAAGACGATCCTGTGGCAGAAGGATAGGCCTTCAGCTAGAACATCAAGAGTTCGGTAGTCTTGGTGAGTATATTGAATTATAACAGCAGTTGAACTGGCACTACAGTCCTTTCCACCAAATGTTCCATTTTTATACTCATCCTAGTTTAATCATAATAAAGTATTGAGTATTGAATCTGTTTCATGACAAGTGAATGCATATGGTAAAAGTATCACTTGCTAATATTGCTTTGGATGCATATGATGATTCTAGCCTGTTGCTATATTAGTCGGCATGTATTTTTGCCAACCAAAAGTGTTTCAGTAAAAAAAAAAAAAAACAATAAAAAAAAAAAAAAAAAAAAAAAAAAAACAAAAAAAAAAAAAAAAAAAAAAAAAAAAAAAAAAAAAAAAAAAAAAAAAAAAAAAAAAAAAAAAAAAAAAAAAAACCCAAAAAAAAAAAAAAAAAAAAAAAAAAAAAAAAAAAAAAAAAAAAAAAAAAAACAAAAAAAAAAAAAAAAAAAAAAAAAAAAAAAAAAAAAAAAAATACTACCTTTAATAGTCCACAACCAGTTTTCAAGGGTGGCGGCTTAACAGCTGTTTTATTTTTTTTAGAAATCACAATCTCCAAGAGTTTAAGGACATCCCTGACTGCAGTCCAGGTCCGGAGGCAACAGACAGGAACGGTTTCTGCCTGGGCCACAAAGCAGCTCTCACAGATGTGACGAAATGAAAACCGGCTAGGCCAATGCTTTTTAATGCAAAAACTCTCAGCTGAGAGAATAGCCATTCAGAAGTGCCACAGATGCTGTGGCAGAAGAAGCGGCTATTAGGTGGCCTGGACTCTGTTCCACTGGACCATGGAGTTCGCTGCTGTGCAGACCTGTGAATGGAGGCCCCACAAGAGGATATCTTCCATGACATAGAGGCTGTGGTTCAATGGATTTTCTGTGAGCCCATTCCCCCTACAACAAAAGCTGTGGTGGTGGATGAAATGGGCCAGCCTCAGTTTTGTGAACAAAGTATTGTAAAGATTAACATTAGCATTAACAAGTGTCCCATTTATAGTGTAGTTCCAAAATAAGTGCGATGGGAATAGTGTAACATAGGCTGAATGAAAAAAGTAATGATTGTTTTGACTAGGGCTGCAAGATATGTGGAAATTTATTGGCAAAATGTTATTGAATATCTTGATAATCTGGAGAATTAAGGAAAAAACTGTAAATACACCCTTCCACTTATTTTCTATAAATTGCAGTAATGTCAACTGCCTGTTCCTACTTCCAAGGTCAATCCTGTGAATGCTCTGATGACGTCACAGTTACTTCCTTGGAAGAATATTTCTGTGGTCACCATCGACGGTATGTTGTTCCTAAAGCCTTCTTTTTGTAGCAAGTAGTATTGTCACATGCGAGTTTTGACCACTTGTGCAACGCAAAGATTTTATCAGCCTGTGTCCATATTTCAGACCAAACCAACCCCCCCAAATGCCATGTCAAGATAGCTAATACATTCATATAGTGGCACACATCTATGTATTAAATACATATGTTAAGGCAAACTCACAGTTTGATTTACCCGGAAATACCCTTTACTTGTAGCATTGTTCACAGGACGATACAATGTCTGCTGGCCTCGGAAAATCCTGTCCATCCTGCTCTGAGAATGGACTTCCTGAGGTTAAAGACCTCTTTGTATCAGGTACTGGCCAGCTAGCCACTCCAAAGCTGCCAGAACGCCTTTACAAATATGAATGTTTCACCTCATTCGAGCACATGAAGGTGACACAGCACAGCCATGTCCAGGGAGGCAAGTGCATTCTAAAAATGTTGGAGCAACAGATCTGTTCAAGCTGGACGGGTAAATCGCCTGAATCTACACGGAAACATACAAAAACAATATCATATTACTGTATATCCACATCATTAATATTGTTCGGGCATTGCTTTCAAAACAATTACTTTAATGCCACTTTTTAAATATAATAAAACAAGACAGGGTGTATCTGTGGCTGATACATTTCAGCGAAGTCTTCTTCGAGATTTTGCTTCTT